ACGGAAGAAGCAGGGAGGCCAACACAACTCATCTTCATAAATATATATATTATTACATCTCACATTGTCGTGATTATTATTGCTAATTAGAAGTACAACTAATTAGTCATTTTATTTATTATCTTCACTCTCTCACACACACACACACAAAAAAAAGCAAAGACATCATGTTATACTTAGAACATAGAAGCAACGTCATAATTGATATTGTGTTGGCCAGGAATGATGGATCTTTAGGGACGGCAACCGTAGGTACGTCTAACAACATCGTAGAGACAACGAGGACACGACCTAGATGTACATTGACTCGATTGTCGACAATCTCCATAGCAACCAACCATCATGTTATAGCCATTCAGTTTTGATTTGGGTTCTGTTACAGTTAGCGATGCATCTCTTATTCCACTTCTTTTCACTCTTGAACACTCACCCAAATAAACTGCATGTACAATCCATTAAACAAACAATATGTTACTCCATTTCATAGTTCAAATGTTTAAATATATGTAACAAATAAAAATAAAAAAAGAGGGAAGGAATAGGAAAAAGTTATTTACCAGACATCATCAAAAGCACAATAGTGAAATAGGAAGCATAACTGCGAGCCATGACAATAGAATAAATTATTTGTTATTGCAGTGTAATTGTTTGCCTTCATGAAAGGCAGTGAATTTATAGGCCTCTCTCTCTCTCTCTCCCATATTTCTAGTTTCTAACTAAGCTATATTTGTAGTTTGTACCAAGTTGAATCAATTTTATGTAAGAAAAAAGGGAAACATAAATCCCAAAACTCTAGCTAAAACTTTATTTTCATGTATATAACTATATTTAGTTTTTTTCCTTTCTTTTTCCTACTTTGTTGAGATCTTCCTTTTGATTTTTTTCTTCTTACATGTAAGGATATCTGCATAGTGGTTAATTAGTAACTATTTTACATTTTGTCCCTTAGGATATTTAAATATGATAACTCTTACTATTAAGGGTGTTGATGGGTAGGTTTTAGTTGATTTTTGGTTAAAACAAAAATTAAATTAATTTAATCAGTTATTAAATTATTAAAATCAAATTAAATATAATACATATCTATCGATTTGGTTCGATTTTAAGAAACCTAATGATATTGATCTCTTTCATTTAGATTGTGTCCTTTAGTTGAGTCTAATATTAATATCATGTGATTTAAAATTTGTGTTATTTATATCTGACATTCTTCATCTACATGTATATTCACAAGTTTGATTTATTCAGGTAAAGTAATCTCCTCCTCATCTCACAATATTATATATTATACAATTATGAATTATTGCAATTATAACTCTTGTTCAATGAAGCCTGGAACAGACTTGATGAACGAATTAATTGTCGATAAACAACTTGAGACGAAACGATTCGATCTTATTGAATAATAAAAATCTTAAGATCAGGAAAAGAGTAGAAAATTAAAGAAACAAATGAAGATACTCGAAAGATTTTAACATTAGTTGACAAAGAGGTAATAATATACATTTAACTAGTACAATAATAGATGATGTTAGGTAGTAAATGAGTTGTGTTAGGGTTGGCACACCTTAGCTATTGTTTGGCACACCTTTAACCTTAGCTTGACAAAGGATGAGTTTGTTAAATTTTGACAGATTATAGTAAGTTAAGGGCACGTTTGACTTCTATAAAAAAAAAAAGGGAGTTATGATAACATCTATTAAATGACATTTGAAATATAAATATTGAAAATAAAAGAAAATTATTTACACTTATGAAAAAATAATATATATATATATATATATATATATATATA